TATATATATATATATATGTATATATATATATTTATATATATGATAAATCTAAGCCAGTTTAAACTGCTTTTTAGAATTGGATTTGGCGTTTAGCATATTCAATCTGAGAACAACTGTGAGAAAATTTTTTGCAGAATCTGCAAATGGTAATTCGTTTTGGACGTCGCTTGTAAATGGCGTTGACGGTTGGAGGTTTGCTGGACAGAAAAAATTATCATTTATTTATTGGAGCAAAAATCAGCCTGACAACTGCTGTCCACCTGGTCGAGCAAATTATACTGTTCATATACCTGGCCAGGGTTGGGACGATCGTGGTGAAAACGAGTTAGCAAGTTATGTTTGCAAATACAAATGTACGAACTGCTATTACACCTTACGTGAACAGTTAAGCGTATAATAAATGTATTTCAAATTACAATATGCAAAAAATTTTAGCCATTTTAGTAACAACTAAAGTGGTTCCTCGATCAGTTTTTGAAAATGACAACGGTTCTGATGAAACCGTCGCAGAATCACCAAGTGACGAGAGAAAAGTGCGAACAGTTACGGATGTTAGTCTTACTCCTAGAAGTCTACAATAATAATGTTATTGGTTATCTCAAAACCAAAAGCAACCAAATCTTCAGCCGCTTTGCTTGTTAAAAATTTACGTAAAAGTTGCAAGCCAAATTTAGTTTTAGAATTTTAGAGAATATCTGAAAAGCGTACCATATTTCAAGAAATAAAGATTCAAAATTTTGTTCAAAAAATCAGATTTTAAAACCAGAAGTTTACACTAAATTTGCAGAACAACAAAGAGTTGAAAAACCGACGATCAAAACGTTTTTTTGAAAAATGTTTCTTTCAGGAAGGAGTTTTATTTAAGATTGGCGATTGGTATGTCAGATGTAAGTGTCTTCAACATCAGAGAAGTTGTTGCATTTGTAAAATATTCTTTTTACATAAAAATAATTTAACGATCTACACATCCCCAAGAAAGCTTTCTTGATAACTTTTTTATAAGCTATAAAATTGTTGAAAATGAAACGTATTAATTTCTAACTTGAAACGCTGTTGAAAACATCAAAAATATGTCTAGTTACCCTGTTCCCCTGTTTTTTGAAAAGACCCATCAATTTGTGCATTTTAGGGAACCAACTTGTAACTGCTATCGTTTCCGTATTAGTTACTGCAGCTATTGTTGTAGCAGTCCTTGCTTTTACCTATGTCACGTCAAAAAAAACAACACAGAAATTTTCGCCTGATACTCACCGTCAGGCTACACAACAGGCGGAACAAGAGGTGGATAGGAGTGCATATGTAGCCAAAGATAAATCGCGTGCTGCTCTCCTCAGGGTTGAGGGAATACTGGAGGACTTATGACCTAGGTTTTAGTTTATACATCTATTTTACCGCTCAAAATCACAACGTTATTTGTTATAGGTTTTTGAAACTTGTTTTTGTTATTTGATTAAATTTGATTAGTGTGTGGACAGAATTTTAACCACGATTAGAAAGAGAGTAGTTTAATAGACTAACGAATGTTCCGGTAT